GTGCGATGCAGTTGTTACGGTTTGAAGGCGGCACAACAATTTATCGCCCTTTAGGCAATTATTCTATCGCCAAGTGACCCCTCCCCACCCAGGAATGGGAATCGAAAAAAACAAGGAAACCCAAGGGTTGAAATATAAACAGATTTAATAGTCTAAGACTAAATAATTAACTTTAATAATAGTAAAAACCTAATCTTGATTCCGATGCCAATATAAAATACAGAAGGATTATACTCAGCCCATCCTATCCGTGGGAAGCCGTGTGCTCCCACCAGGGGAGAGCCAATGTGGGACAGTGTGAGCACTGCGGCTTCTGGAGGAAGGGAAGGGCTCAGGGGTCCGGCACCGGGGCACAAAGTTCTCAGGATGGCAGCCATCAAGGGAGAGAGAACTCCTAAGCAAACTTTCTAATTTATATTGAATGTGATGTTCGTGGTATGAAATAATCCTGTTGGCCAGCTTGGGTCAGGTGCGCAGGTCCTGCTCCTCCTCATCCCTGCACCTGGAGAGCTCAAAGACACTGAGACCTTGAAACCCACACACCATAGCTGGCTACAAAGTAAATATTTTCACAAATTCAGATACTAGAGTCTTCTAAAAATGCAGTTTTCCCAAGCATTAGAAGAAACCTCACTGAAAAGTAAAATCACTGAAAGAGGAATTAATCCAGTGTCACCCAAACCAGGAGAGCCGCGCGGTGCCCTGCAGGGCTGTGTGGTTCAGCACAGTGCTCTGCCCCGTGCTACTGCGCAAGGCAATGCGGTGCATTTGCAATGCCACACTGCCGAGCGCGGTGCTGGGCGATAACCCACGCTACAGCACGGACAGGGCTGTGCGGTGTACTGCAGCGCAGGCGGTTCGGGGACGGGGGGTGGGGGGGGGTCCGGTCCTGCCCAGGCCAGCTGAGGGCAGCTGCGGACAGGTGTGTGCGCAACGCGCACAGTGCAGATGTGGCGACGCGAGGGAGATGCAACGCAGGTGGATGCTCCCACCGGGTGTTTGAAGTTGGACTGCAGAGAGCAAAGCCGGTCCCTGTGTGCAGAGAACAGCGGTGCGGCTGCGCTCAGGAGCATCTGCCTCTGGAAGCAGTCCAAAGCAGCGCCTCCCACAGCTCTCTGTGGAGATCTGTGGCCACCATGTGCTGCTGAAGGCTTGGACACTGTTGCATTGGGCAGAGGCGCCGCTACAGTGGTTCTCTGCACCAGCATCCCTGGTGCCACCGCAAAAACAGAGCTGGACTGATGGGGCAGAGCTGCAGGGACTCAGCCCAGGGACTCAGGGATGAGCCCAGAGTGGAGTCGGTGCAGGCTGAGGTGACTCCCCTGATGTTATGCGCTTTGCTTACCTCAGCGCACTGTCCCACTGAGCACAGGGAAGTGTCTCAAATCTGTGCACGCTGACGGGATCTTGCCAGGAATTTGTAACAGCAGTGGAGAATCTTAAAGGATGGTGAGCAAATCCTCCTCGGCCTTTTCCCTGTGAACCTGAGTTGCCCTGAGGGGGAGACACGGGAGGTTTGGGTAAAAAAAGCACCTTCCAGCAAAACGAAGGTGACCTCTCTCTGTCCTTGCATATACTACCTAAGGGAGGATGCAATTAGCTCCAGGGTAGCGTTGTTAATAATAGCAGAAGTGCCAAACACCCTGGGTGCACGTGTGGGTTTCAAAGTCACCTGGACGGAAAGCATTTCCGTGGCAGAAGGGAGTGATGCTACAGGGGTAACGCCGCATCAGGCCGACACAACCAGGCCCAGGGTGGCAGATAAGCAAACACACCTCTGCAAATGCAGCTGGGTAAACCCATTTTGATTTTATTTTCACTGCAAAATGCTTTCCCTTGGGCACGATTTAGCCAAAGGATGATACCGTGTAAGGAAAAAACATGTAGCCCAGGAGGGATTTTCTCGCGCTGTCCCAGAGTTGGCGGGAGCTGCTGCTGAGCTCAGCGTCTTGATGAGATAATAAGTGGTTTCGGAAAGTAACTTTAATTAAGCTTCCTCTGAATGTCCCATCTCCTTAATTAAATAACAATTTGCAGCGCTCGCGTGCCTGTCGGTTTTGATAGGCACCCTTCGCCTCTTCCTAAGGCAGCTTCTGCCTGCAGGCGCTGAGGTGGCACGTGGTGTGACAGCCCTGTCCTGGCTCCCGGAGAAGATGCATCAACAGGAGCGAGGCAGCTGGGGAAGGGGGAAAAAGAGGGCTCGTTCAGCCAAAACCCTCTGAGGAGGATTTAGGTAGCAGTAAATTAAAGAGCTTCAATGTTGGTGGCCCCACTCGGTGCCAGCTGCCCTGTGCAGGGAATGGGGACACTGGAGTATTTTGCTGCGGTTTGGAGCCATGACAGACTGCACAAGGAGCGCTGCAAATACCCCTGACCTCAAATAAAGTTGCAACTTGGTTGGGCTTCTGCTTTTTATTTCCTTGTATTTGACCTGAAGGTTGCCTCTGCTTGTTTTGCAGCGGGTTGCAGCTGCCTGGAAAGGAAAACCTGAACCGAGATTTTGGAGAAAAAAAAAGCGCAATAAACCCTTCTGCTTGTCTTGGTACCTTGGATTGACTGACAAGTGCAATGGCATGTTGGGATGCAGCTGAAGCCCAAGCTAACGCGCCGTACCTAACCTCAGCGACAGCCGGTGTGCTGCCGAGCCGGCCATGCGCCGGGATTAGAGGCGCCTGTGCTGGCAGTGCTCCTCAGGCTATAGATAGCCGCACTCTGTCTCTGCCGTGGGTCTCCTGCGGGGAGGCAAGAGAAGCAGCAGAAGCGGATGGATGTCCCCGGGACACCCCCATGCCCACCGCAGCAGCCTCCCCCTGCGCTTTGCAATGCAGAGCCTCTGGGTTTTTCTGTAAAACCCCAATTCCCAGTTCTCTTATAAGCAAACCACTCCGCAGAGCCAGGGGATGCTGGAAGCTTTGATTCCAAGCAGCAAGCAGGGAGGCAGGGGTTGGCGTGACGCCTGCGCCTCCCTCCCCGGGGGGAACATCACCTCCTGCTGCCAGATGGATTTCATCCTTCCCCTCTAGGCACGACTGTGTTTTGCAAGTCTCTGTTTTCGTCAGGCGTTTGCAGAAGCGCAGCTTTCCCATGTCAGTGGCCCAGATTTCCCCTCTCTAAGCAGACAGAGACCATTCTTCCACATCCCAACCTGGATTTCATCCCAGCTCCTCCGAGAGCGCGGCCGTGACCCTTTGAAGGCGACGTTAGAGCTCTCGCTCCCTCTGTGCATCGTCCCTAGATATATTCTGACACATCCCAGGGGCTGTTTTCAGTGGGATGACTCAGAGCCGTCGCCTCCTGGTGCGGAGGGACAGGGCCAGGCGTGATTCCTCGTCCTCTGCCGCGGTGCCTGGCAGTGCCCGGGGCCAGCACCCGCAGCCCCGCCAGCTCCGCAGGGAATCCTGAGGCGGGGGGGAAAGCAGCATGGGGCTGGGGGTTCACCTTGGGACAGCACTTCATTGGGATACTCCATGGGGGTGTCTGGGAGAGTTCGGGTGATGGTTCAGTGGTGGTGGGCAGCAGGTCCCCCATCCCAGCCCGTGCCCTCCCCTACGGAAATGCCCTTTAACAAAATAACTACTCTTTGCAGCTTTTTCTGCTGTTTCTATGTTCAAGGCAACCAAAATATTAATATGTTCCAATTCTGAAAACTAACATGCTTCAAAACTTAATTCCTTAAATGCAGGTTAATCTTTCGGGACTGCGGAACCTGGGAGGATGCAGTGTGGGACAGGGCGCTGCGCTCACCTGTGCTCTCACTTTGCGCTGTCACCACCCCGGGGTCACTGTTTAATGCCACTTTGGCTGGGGACAGCAGGTTTTTTGCATGCAACATGATTTCTGTTAAGGGGAGAAGGGATTTTTTAGGAGAGATGAAACTTAACAGCTACATTCATGCTATTTTCAGTTTTGCTAACTAACACCGATACGAGCCAGCTGGAGGCAAGACTTTGTCACCCTGACACCGGAGCCATCCGTATCTCCTTTGGACACAAGAGGGAGTCCTGAATCACCAAAAAGACAGGTTTTTGCTTTGATTGCTCTGGATTGAACCGCTTTTCCCTGCACTGAGGAAACACTGGTCATCACTTGGAGGCCTTTGGCCTGTTTTGCTCTCCATTGTGCTGGGGTAAATCCACGGGAAATCCAGAAGCGTGGATTTTCCCCATTTCCAGTGGGGACAGGTCAGCTTGCTGGTTGGGTGAAGTGAGTCCCGCTTTCCCAAAAGACCAGGAGTTATCCCTGAAATCAAGCACAGCTGACAACCTCCCCTCCCTATTTTGCAGCCCCGGATAAACGCAGAAAACGGAGGCAAAGCTCCATCTGCCTCCATGCTTCCCCCCGCTATGGCATTGGGACCACACATTCCCCCCGGCCTTGGTGCCCGCACACACACGGCATCGGCTCCTCCGAGGGCATCAGCCCTGGCCACGTGTCCCCCAGCAGCACGTCCCCCCATGGGCTTGGGGACAGCCAGCAGAGGGGACAGGGAGGCCCCCACACCTCCTGTTCCCACTGCCCCCCAGGGGACGTTTGCTGCTGGACAGGGATATTTTGGGAGGCATGCCTTTCCCATATTACCCAGTTTAATTAGGCACAGTATAATCTTTCTAACGCAGCTTCCAGGGGGGGACCACACGGGAGGCGGAGGTGACATGGTGGCATGCGTCCAGTCAGGACAGCCAAATACCGCAATATATCAGCAAGGGTCCTGCCGAAACCCGGCTGAAAGGGCTCGCTCCTTCCCATATCAAAGTCACGAGGAAATCTCCAGCTGCCCCGAAGTGGGGCTGGGGCTGACTCCGGACGTGCCAGCCCCAGGCTCGGCAGTGGCCCCATCCCACGGCAA